GACCTTGCACGTGACTGATTGTTTTTGTGTATTTTCACACCCTCCAGGCTACTTGTGTTGGAACTGATTGTTTCCTTGACTTGAACTTTGACCTCACACACAATAGGTCAACATTCATATCAAAGAAACAATCAGTTATAATACAAGTAGACTAGAGGGTATGAAAACATACAAAAACAGCCAACGAGTAACGTCAAAGGTCATTAGAAGAGATGATTAATAAACACGTCGAGAAATGGAGGTCATTTCAAATTGAAGTATGCTCTGAAGATGTCGCCCAGTAGGGCGATGAAAGCTTAGCAAACTAACTATCCAGCTCAGAGAAAACAGAACCACATCAAAATAACGGTATCATTGTTTCATTATATATATATATATATATATATATATATATATATATAAATCCCGCGCTGAAACCAACTCCTATTGGTTAGAACTCAGGGAGCTGAAATCTGCGTCCCACACACTGTCTACAAAACGCTCCAGACATAGCTGAAAGACGACAATTTCTTGATAGATCTATGTGGCTCTGTTCAACAACAAAACGTCAGAAACTCAGGATAACGTCAAAAGTACCGTTAAGCAACTATTCAATCAATGGGAATTTTTTAGTACAAAACAAGCAGTTAGAATCAAGTGGAATATTCCCAACAAGGTGGGATCAAAAAACCGTATGTTCAAGAATCATAACACCAGAATTTCTTACAGATAGTCCAATGTTCAGAATGACCTTCCTTCACTCCAACCACAAAAAGAAGCATTAGAACCAGAGAATATATGAGGAAAGATAGAAACATCGGCGTTCTAATCAACATATGATATACAGTCTGGGAGGAAAAGGGATAATCATTACCAAGTTAGTTGAAACATTGGAAGAAATATCACTACTACGATATGTCATTCAGCAGGGATGTTCCTGATAATTTTACGTTGCCTTTATGCAGGGTGAAAGAAAGTAGCACTAAGCTACACTAACCTTCCAGTGATAATTTCAGTCATTGCGTGTATCTGACATCTTTTTTTTGGTATAACGTGTGGGTGAAATTAACCAACATGTTCCTAGGCTATTCATTCGAAAAAAGGTGTCTTTGGAAGGACTTAACAATGTGTCTTTTACAGTCAGTCTAATGCGTTCTTATAGAGATTAATTAAAGCTTTGAAGTAATTTATGTGGATGGTGAATGATTGATTAGCAGTAAAATCTGGTCAAGATGCGCGTTTCGTCCCATTTAAGACTCATCAACTAGATGGATATGCGTGCGTCCCCAAGTGAGTGAGTGATTGTGTTTCCCTTTAGGTTCAAACCCAAGAGCCACCACTTGACCAGTCGATGTAAGTCACTATTTAATTTTAACTCAGTTTTTATTTCTCTGTTGACATTCATTCAAAAAAACGGTGGCTCTTGTAACCGGGATGGTTCAGTGGATAATAATTTGGGCGTTTTAAACAATAGGTGCTGGGTTTGGTTCTCAATCGTAGTACTCACTCACTCACTCACTCACTGGAGAATTTAGGTACCCGCAAACGGCCACTTGAAAATTATTGCAGTTCTTAGCAGTGACTGACAATAGGATAATGAACCTGTCTGAATTTCAAGTGTTGGAAGTAGTGACAAAGTTGGATGTGAAGTGGAATACCTGGCGGTCGCAACACACATTTCGAAACTGACTGAGGTTAGAATGCACAGGCCGTTGATTACATTCCGTCCCATCAGCTGAATGGTCAGTGGGCTTGGCGAAAACATGAACGCTTACTCCGGAGGGGTCTCGAAAAAGGGACAAAATAGTGGTCTAATAGACCCCAGGTGATTAATAGTTCTCTGATTAAATCCAGTCAGACAATTAAGAATTAAAATTTCTTAAATTTGTATCATCCAGACTGACTGAACAACAATTGAAAGATTTGCTATGAAGAATTAATCGTGACTGTCTGATTAGCGCAGATCCTTTGGGACTCCTGAGACCAACGGAATCATTATGGTCTAATAAAGATGCACAAACCTGGTCCATCACTTAGACTAACTATGGATATGTTGGGGTTACTGTAAAATGGTTGTCTGAAAAGTTGGAGCCTGTAGAGGGAGCAATTATGTAACAATTCCCTTAGAGATATTCTCGAGTTTATTGATTGTGTAGAAGAACAGGACATAACCGGTAAGCATTTTTTATTAACGAATGTATAGTTCCTATGTATCAACGTGTTGCTTCCAGTAACAATCTGTTTCCTATGGTAATACGTCGATGACAAGAATTTTAGCGTCAGGATACGAACCTCATATCTTAAATATTTCCTGTAAATTTAAAGGAAAGAAAATTGTACAGGAAAAAATATTTTCAAAATACTATGGTGATGCTTTAAATTACTGCTGAACCACATAATCAGCTCGACTACATGTTTACTGGAGGTTATCTTTGGCGAACTACCAACTACACACCGATTATCCAACCAATTCCTCTCACCGCATTTCTTGTCCTACTCCTCAAAAGGTTAGCCATCTAGCCCATTGCCAACAGAAGAAGTAATTTGCACGCAGTTAAATCTAATCGTTTTCGCCAGACCAACCACTTTCATCTTAGGATAAAGCTGATATCGTCTTGCATGAAACTTGTCCGTCAAACAGAAACACTACTATAACAAAAATATTCATTCAGACATCTATAAAACACAAAATGATTGAGAAAAAAATATCCTTTTCAATAATTTCCTCTCCCAGCTCTATAATTACATATGCATGCTTGTATACAAAAGAATATTCCAGGTTAGAAGTCAATAACAATATTAGTGTTTTTATTAAAAAAAACGATTTATAAAGTAAGATCACGGTAACTTGGAAAATACTCGAGTACTACGGCGCACCCCAAATATTCATCAACCTTATTCAATAGCTGTAGGACAACAGCACACGTCAAGTGATCCACAACGGAAAACTCAGCGAGGCGTTTGGAGTAAACACAGGAGTCAGACAAGAGTGCTTATTATCACCCGCGATGATATTCCTAATTGTGGTGGATTGACTGGATTATGCGTCAGACAGTGAGTTGGAAACGAATAGACAGGGATATCCTGGACCGATGTGAAGAACCTAGAAGACCTGGATTTCGCGCGTGGATGATGTATGTTCGATGTCACTGTCACAAAATCGAAGACTTACAAGCAAAAACCGACCGATAAACTGGTCGAAGAAGCAGCTGGCGAAGACAGGACTCCAAGTGAACACAGACAAGACGGAGGAGATGAAAATAACCAACCAACAACAACAACAACAGCAGCAACATCTAGAGTCGATCACCATCAACAGGAGGGATTTGAAAGAGGTTACTTCATTCACCACTTATCTAGGGAGCATCGTCTCAACTATAGGCAGCCGGAATGGACGAGGATGTCAAATCGAGCGACAATCGGGAAGGCGAGAAACACATTCATCAACCTGAAACCAATCTGGAAATCTTCCGCTGTCACTCAGCCAGCATCAGCAACAAAATTCACTCGGATTTTCAATACAAACAACGTCAAGTCAGTTCTTCTTTCTATTATTATATATATTATTATTGTATCCTTTAGTTCCTAGAGGAACATAGGGCTTCAGCTGCGCACCTCCATTGACTTCGGTTTTCTGACAAGTTTTTCACCCTGCTCCAGGTCTGCCCACATGCTTTCATCTCCTCTTCACATGACCTCCTCCAAGTCACCCTTGGACGACCAACTCGCCGCCTCCCTTTCGGGTTCCACTCGAGGGCTTGTCTAGTGATGTCACTTGATGGTTTCCTCAGCGTATGGCCAATCCATCTCCATTTCTTTCTGCCTATTTGTTTCACAATCGGTTCCTGATTGGTTCGCTCCCAGAGATCCCTGTTGCTGATCTTTTCTGGCCATCTGATCTTGAGTATTGAGCGGAGACAGTTGTTAATGAAGGTTGAGAAACGGATGAGAAACTTGGCGGGTGGACGGGTCACAAAGAATATTTCGAACAGCCTGTTGCAGACCTTTATCAACAACTGACTGTTTTCACTCTATACTGAAGATCAGATGGCTGGGTCGGAAGGAATCACCAACTATAGGAAACTATGGGAACAAACAAAACAAGAATCAACCGCCCAACAAATATGCATGAGAATGTGGAGGTGGATTGGACACTCTCTGAGGAGGGAGACCTCTGTGTGACATCGCGCGTCAGGCCATTGCTCGAGTGGAATGCGAAAGGGAAGCACGCGGCGAGTGGGACATCAGTTCAAGGGTGACATGGAGGAGATCGTGTGAAGAGGAGTTGAAAGAGTATGAACTAACATGGATGCAGGTGAAAAGTACAGCAGAAGACAGAAGTGGCAAGTGGAGACGTGTAGTTGAAGGCCTATGTTCCACTGGGAACCCAAGGGAACAATAATAATAATAAAGATGCATAAATTATAATAATAATGAAAGTATGGTAGCAAATATAATATCAACTAAAATTAGGAAAATTCCACAGAATTCAGGGTCATTCAAACCTAGATGGCCAACGTAAGGATAATGTCTGAACTAACTTTTTTTAGATGCATAAATTAGGCTTCCTAATTAATTTGGATCGCAACAGCCTCAACAATATTTAGTAATCGAACTCTTAAGGCAAAATTGAGATTCTTAGGTATGCGACAAATGACTCTGAAAGCATGATTAACACGAATCTTGTGTTCTGTATCCGCAAGATGAGATAAAATAGCGCTACGAATAGATTTTGTTTGTCCCTTGTTTGTCCCACACAGGGTGATGTTCGGAAATTCGACGAGAAACACGCCTAATTGTATGGCCTATGTAACTAGCTCCACAGGAGCAGTTTATATATGTACATAAACATATATATATATAATTGTAGAGCCAGAAGAGGAATTTATCGAAAAGGATATTCTTTGCTCAGTCATTTTGTGTTTTATAGAAACATCACTGCCAACCGTTTCCTCAGCAGTACGAAAAAATGTATGAATTATAAATGATTTCAAGTTATTACGTCATACATCAAGACTTACTTCTTGGAAAAACTTTGGCGCTAAACCACGTGCTTTACTTTCGTGTACAGGAACTAATTTCCACGTCAGACCATCGAATTGAAATATCTTAAATATTAGAAGAAGAAAAAGAGTTTTCTTTAAGGTACATATGTCACTGGATTATAATTTATTTTCGCTGTTCATTTATGGAACGCAAAGCATCTTTCAATAAAAGAAATTATTCAAATAGCTAATGTTAAATGTCATAGAAACTTTGGAATGTTGTATCGTATTTCTGACTTTTTCTCAACTTTAAAAAAAGTTTCTTCTTAACTGCAATTCCAGTGAATCGCCTGCTCTTTTGGAGCAACGTATGTCGGCCGTGGTCAGGGAACGCATTCCATATAGATATGAGAACATAGTTCATCCAGGGAGAAATGAAGGGTGTGCAAAGCTTTAATCTAGAACACTTGATCGACTTCTATCACTCTACCAACCTTGACCATGACTTTAAGATCATCTATCGATTTTATGCTAACCTCCTGGCCGCATTTTCCTTGTTCTAAACTTCTGAAAACAGTTAAGGTCTTGGCCGTTCAGGGATTCAAGCCAGAACTTTGTGTACAAAAGAAGTATGTGCAACACCTATTTCTGCCTTGGCCGTAGTGGGATAGAAACTCATTTATTTATTTGGTTACGTTTTTTTCAAAGCCATACTAATATAACGATGTAATTTAACAATGCACGGAGCTGGGAAGGTTGCCAGGGTAGTCAACGAAATGCGAAAATATGGCATAGAAGTGATAGGTGTCTTCGAGAGCAGATGAAATGCATCTAGATTATCAGAATTGTCAGCTGGAGAGTCAGTAATCTACTCCGGTCACTAAGATGACAACCACGAACACACACTGAAGTAGTGAGTGGCTGCCATGGTGTCACCAGTGGCAGCCAAAGCCCTAATGCAGCCGGAGACAATTTCATCCCTTGGGATCATGACAGCAAGATTTATCTCAGTAGGAAGGAAGGTCATAATCATCCAATGCTACGCAGAGTGTTACAAACAACATGGATCAAGAGAAGAAGGAAGATTTTCCAGACAACAACAAACAGTAATGGACAACATCCCGAATGGTAACATCAAAACCCTGATTGGAGATATGAATGCCAACGGAGCTGGGAGCAGATAATACAGGAAGAAAAATCACCAAGGGTTGTTGAGTGGCTGTTACTCCACGAAATGAATGAGAACGGAGAATTATTCGCAGACTTCTGAGCCTTCAATGACCTGATGATTGGAGGCAGAGTGTACAAGCACAAGGATAGGTACAAAGCAACATGGATTTCGCCTAATGGACACATTACAAAGCTGATACATTTCATCTCAATTTCAAGGAAATGGAGACGCAGCTAGCCTGCTGGACACTAAGTCTAGAAGGGGAGCAGATATGGTCTCAGACCATCACCTAGTTCAAGGAACCTTTAGGGTGCAGCTGAAATCCTTGAAAACAACTGGAGACAGGCCACAGTTCAAGAAGAATCTAAGAAAGACACCTCAAGTAGCCATCAAAGCAGACCAGATCATCGAGTGAGTGGGAAACAATGAGTTGAACATACGTCAAAGGCTGTCATGGAGACGATTGTGTTACGTGGAGATAAGAATCGATGGGCAACCATGAAGGCACCTACAGCGGACTATAGAGAACAAGGCAAAGTGGAGCTGTGCCTCTCAACGCCTATTTTGAACTCGGAACCCAAGGGAATGGTAATATAATAATAAATATCACAGCATTAAAGAAGTCCTTGAAATTTGGTACTTTAGATAAATGAACTCGTGTTCTGTAAGCATTTGCACCCGTAACTTATTATTTCTATGGTTTCTCTTTTCATGGAAACTTAGCCACTCCAGAGGTGGATACCTTCGTGCATGAAAATACAATAACTTACAAATATAAACTCATAAATTGAAGAAGAAATGCCTCTTAAAAAATGCATACCTTTGATGAATCCGCATCTGCAGTGTGTCTTGGTGTCCACATCTGTTGAAATTGTACTCTTATTTCAGCAAATGTTTCAATCAGAACAGCAATGAATACATTCTAAAGAAATAAATGTGAAAGAGAAGGTTAGATAGATTAGAAATCCACGTTTTCAAAACTGTGTGCGTCGGTGGCACAGTGGTTAGGACTCTCGCCGACCATGCACATGGTCTGGGGTTCGAGCCCGCACCGACGCACATCTGATATCTATGGTCGGCCTGCGAAATTTGGGCTACCGATATCCATGCTGAAAATTCCATACTTGTACCGAAAATACAGTGTGGAATCAAGCTGTAAATCAAAAAAAAAAAAAAATATATTTCTACCATTTAATTCAATATAGATTTTCATGTCCATTGATTGGACAGAAGTGCTTGATTTCAGGTTGACATGTCATCTCCTTGTGCAGATGCTTCGACGGTATCTGGTCATTTAACGTGGAGTCGATTGGTGGATGATGATTAGCAGTGCAATCTAGAGTGCGCATTTCGTCTTACTTGGGACTCATTACCTGAATGTATCTGCAGTCCCTAGTGAGTGACGGTGCCGCCAACAAGGGTCCAACTCACTGTTCGTAGTTTCTGACACAAAAAATTTAGAACAAGACATATAAGCGAACAATATTGTTTTCAATTAGATCTTCTTCAGGCTTTACTCTAATTTACATAGACTTATATATATAAAATTTTAACCAATGACGGTGATTTAGTGGATCAAATAATAATAGTAATCATAATAATACAAATAATAATAATAGTAATAATAATGTGGTAAATGTTTTGAACGAAGTTAATAACGAAGTTAATAACGATGATTATAATAATAACAAAATATTGTTAATAAGGCTTATATAGGTGATAAGAATAACAAAGTTAGTATATGCATATATGTAGACAATTCAATAAATAAATAATTAAGGAACTGAGAAAAAACGGAATAATCTCAGAGGCAGCATATAACCGTCTTAAACCTACTGGAAGTAATACTTCACGTCTGTACGGTCTGCCCAAAATACATAAACCAGGACTTCCTCTTCGTCCAGTCCTGGATATGTCAAACTCTACCTACCATGGAGTGGCAAAGTGGCTAGGTGAACTCCTCCAACCATTACACAAGTTGGTAGTAAATCATAGTGTTAAAGATGTTTTTGAATTTATTGCTAACGTGGATGATATTAATGTAAATGGAAAGCAAATGCTTTCCCTCGATGTAGCATCACTGTTTACCAATGTACCACTTATGGAGACTGTGGAATTCATATGCCAACAGATACTAGAAAAACAGATCGACATCGGAATACCGGTTAGTAGTCTGAAAGAGTTGCTTTTAAGATGTACTATGAATGTACATTTCATATTTAACAACCTTTACTACAGGCAAATCGACGGTATTGCCATGGGTTCTCCGTTGGGGCCAATTTTAGCAGATTTCTTTCTTGCCAAGATTGAAAATGGTCCATTGAAAAAAGTAATAGAAAAAGCTGATTCTTATTTTCGTTATGTTGATGATACCTTTATTATTCTTGATGTGAAAGCTGACAAGAATGAAATGTTAAAAAAGTTTAACGATGCACATCCATCGCTTATCTTCACTTGTGAAGAAGAATATGATGGTGGACTACATTTTCTTGACGTCCAATTGAGCAGAAGAGAGGATGGTTCACTAAAGAGAGATGTCTATAGAAAACCTACATCTGTAGGACAATATACACATTTCCTCAGTTATGTACCAATCCGTTACAAAATCAATTTGGTCAGATGCCTGACGAATAGAGCAAGACGCATCTGTACAGATGACTCTCTAGAGAATGAGCTAGGATACATCCAAAATACGTTAGTCCAAATGGGTTATCCTAGTAGATTTGTCAGGAGACACATGAATGCGAAGTACAATAAAGAGAAACCGATAACAGTTAAAAAGAAACAACTGTTCATCAAACTGCAATTTAATGGGGACGTGGCTAGTGAAGTCTTACATCAGAGATTATCGAGAGCGATAAAACGGACTTATACTGCCGCCACCCTCTGTTTGTCATTTTCCAGCCGGCCAATTTTGATTGCTCAAGTGAAAGATAAGTTACCGAGTTGTGCCACTTCCATGTGTATCTATAAATTTAGTTGCTCCTGTGGAGAAAGCTATATAGGCCGAACAACTAGACAGCTTAACAAACGCATTAATGAGCATCTTCCTTCATGGTTCGGAAAAGGTCAAATAAAGTCCATACGAAGTTCTATTTTGGCACATTTGATTGATAGTGGTCACCAAGTGGACAAAAATAGTGCTTTCAAAGTTATTTACCGCATTCCATCAAGCCTTTCGAACGGAATCAGAACCCGACTTTTACACTTAGCCGAAGCTATGGGAATTCGAGAGAACAATCCTAGTCTTTGTATACAAAAGAAATTTGTTCTACCTTTGTCTCTCCCTTGGCCTAGGTGAATTCTATTCAAAACCCTCCCACCCTTTCTTATCATCCCTCTCCTTCGTACTTTTATGATATTTATTTAAACTCTGATTATCGTTCCATTTGATTTGACCTAATTTATTTATTTATTGAATTGTCTACATATATGCATATACTAACTTTGTTATTCTTATCACCTATATAAGCCTTATTAACAATATTTTGTTATTATTATAATCATCGTTATTAACTTCGTTCAAAACATTTACCACATTATTATTACTATTATTATTATTTGTATTATTATGATTACTATTATTATTTGATCCACTAAATCACCGTCATTGGTTAAAATTTTATATATATAAGTCTATGTAAATTAGAGTAAAGCCTGAAGAAGATCTAATTGAAAACAATATTGTTCGCTTATATGTCTTGCTCTAATATTATAAACAAAAAATTAATTCAACAAACCACTTGGGCAACGAGAGCCACCTCTTGTACAAAGGGTCGTATTCCTACCATTTCTTATCGTTTTTTGGCAAACTAGTTTACTCTGAATAGAATATTTAACTCAGTTAACGTAAAAAACCATAATTTCCATATTCAGCAAGAGTGATGGGACTAAAAGTCTCATGGCCAACTTCCATACTCTGAGGGTCAGTTATACGCCAGGAACCTAGACTGCGTTTGAGAGTAAGTCTTCGGGCTCTTGAACTGAGACGCAGGAATATTCTACCATCGAAACATTCTAACAATCCCCTCAAATTTAAGCATTAAAGTGATCTGCACGAACTGTGATGAAAGCTGTCTGCTAGTCAAAATTGTAGACACCATTTTACGTGAATGTTTACTCCTCAAATCAGGGTTATGAGAAAAACATTAACAAAGCTTAACCTTGAGGAACTCAACAACCAATCACGATAGACTTTGCGTGGGCAGATACGATTCGCAAATATATATAGTCTGACCTTCAAAGAAATGGCCACAAAGAGATGACAGAATAACTTTCAGCAAGATGACAACTAATCAGAAGACTGTTTCTCTGTTAACAATAACGAATAATAATGTACATAAAAATCTATAAATATCTGTTGATTTTCTCAATAAACGATCTGTAGCCTGGCCCTTGTCTTCTTTCGTTTCAGAACTTGTTCGTTAACAAGATGTAGTATAGAAGGCAAGCATAAAATACCATGGAATGGTTCCATCTAATGACCTTTATTATGCATCTCATATCTTATAGATTTCTTAGAAAATTTTCCGTCAAAACTTTCACACTAAGAAGTTAAGGCAATAAGGTGGCTGTCACTTAACTCCTAATTTTATTGCTATTATTACTGTTCCCTTGGGTTCCCAGTGGAACATAGGCCTTCAACTACACGTCTCCACTTGCCACTTCTGTTTTCTGCTGTAGTTCTCACCTGCATCCATGTTAGTCCATACTCTTTCAACTCCTCTTCACACGATCTACTACATGTTCCCCTTGAACTGACATCCCACTCGCCGCGTGCTTCCCTTTCGCATTCCACTCGAGCAATGGCCTGACGCGCGATGTCACACAGAGGTCTCCCTCCTCAGAGAGTGTCCAATCCACCTCCACATTCTCATGCATATTTGTTGGGCGGTTGATTCTTGTTTTGTTTGTTCCCATAGTTTCCTATAGTTGGTGATTCCTTCCGACCCAGCCATCTGATCTTCAGTATAGAGTGAAAACAGTCAGTTGTTGATAAAGGTCTGCAACAGGCTGTTCGAAATATTCTTTGTGACCCGTCCACCCGCCAAGTTTCTCATCCGTATAGAAAGAAGAACTGACTTGACGTTGTTTGTATTGAAAATCCGAGTGAATTTTGTTGCTGATGCTGGCTGAGTGACAGCGGAAGATTTCCAGATTGGTTTCAGGTTGATGAATGTGTTTCTCGCCTTCCCGATTGTCGCTCGATTTGACATCCTCGTCCATTCCGGCTGCCTATAGTTGAGACGATGCTCCCTAGATAAGTGGTGAATGAAGTAACCTCTTTCAAATCCCTCCTGTTGATGGTGATTGACGCTAGATGTTGTTGCTGCTGTTGTTTTTGTTGGTTGGTTGGTTATTTTCATCCCCTCCGTCTTGTCTGTGTTCACTTGGAGTCCTGTCTTCGCCGTCTGCTTCTTCGACCAGTTTATCGGTCGGTTTTCGCTTGTAAGTCTTTGATTTTGTGACAGTGACATCAAACATGAATCATCCACGCGCGAAATCCAGGTCTTCTAGGTTCTTCACGTCGGTCAGTCCAGGATATCTTTGTCTTCTCGCTCGTTTCCCACTGTCTGACGCATAATCCAGTCAATCCACCACAATTAGGAATATCATCCTGAGTGATAATAAGCACCCTTGTCTGACTTCTGTGTTTACTCCAAACGCCTCGGTGAGTTTTCCGTTGTGGATCACTTGACATGTGCCGTTGTTGTATAGCTGTTGAACTTCTTATTTTACAGTTTGTTAACTCTTGCATCTTACCTGTTTTCCTGTATTGTTTCCCAGATATTAGACTTTTTTTGTCTGCTACTCATATTTGGAGAGTTATTAAAAGTTATCAGTAGGTTAAGTGGCGCACCACTAAGTCAGCCATCTAGTCACTATCATAGTCGACAGACACCTGAATTGGTGTGGGAAATG